GTCTTGCTTGTGCTAGGGTGGTCAAGTAGGACAGCCGTAGAATAGTGAAGGCAAAGAGGTGCAGAAGTGGTTCCCCTGCAGCCAAAGCTCCCCTGCCCCATTAACCCTGTTGGATAAAATATTGTCACAGCAATGGTGGATATTCAAAATTCAGGGGGGTCTCAGTTACTGGTAAGCTGAATACCAAGGGCCTCTTTTTTTCTCCTGGGTCTATTACAGCTTTCCTGCACCTAGTTCTCTCCAGATGTGTTAGACTACAACTCCTATCCCCACCAGCCACCATAGATAGTTATGTACTAGTTGGGAATTATGGGGCTGTAGTCCCATTAAATCCAGAAAAAGTACCAGGTTGGGAGAAAGTAATCTCTGGTTTTCAGCAGTTAATGGCATAGATGTTGAAAAGTGATAGATTTGCAGATGCTTCACATTGGTGCCTCCCGCATTTGTTGGTCTATTTTAAATCTTTCATTTTCTATTTAAAAGCTTTGCTCATGTGTACTGCAAATGCCATTGGTCCTACTCCAACACATCAGTGTTTCAATTCAGGGAAAGAGCCGAGGAGTCTGCCAAATGTGGGATGTCCCCATTCCCTAATGAGGAAGAGGTGAGAGGAATGCGAAAAGTCTCAGTTCTTGACTTGTACTGACAGGAAAGTGAATAAAACTAGGCCAGGAACTTCTAGCATTTGCACCCTACTCAGCTCACATTTCTAAATGGATGCTGAATGGACAACAGTACATGGCTTTTTTCCTGTCTGTTTGGGGACACTGATGTTATCTGAATCATACCCAAGCCTTTCACAAAGCTTAGTTTAGCTTTTCTTAATAAACTAGCAGAGTAGCTGAGCTTTTACAAGCGGCTCTGGATGCACTGAGCACCTTTGCCCAGGCAGAATGCAGCTCTCCTTTTAAAAGTTTGAGGATCCCTCAGTGAAACCTGTGGCATCACTTTAGTGAAGTCTTTTAAAGGGTAGGTTAGAGGGAACTAGGTAAGCACCCCCAAGTAGGCAAAAATGAATACTTTTCTCCTTTAGAGGCATGTTTTGCAAGCAGTTTTATTTGGTGTACTGCAGCCCTCAGTTATTTTATCCCAACTTCTGTAGATAATAACAGGGCTCAAGGTGCCTTAGACCTGCAGGAAACTATGAAAACAAGGGAAGAGTTCCAATATTTTTGCTTACTGGAATAGAGAAGATGGCCTTCCTTGCACTTAAATTGATTCTCTCTACTCGAGACCAGAATTAATTCCTTGATTATAAACCTCAAGTGACTATTTATGATAGCAATAATCCCTTTAGAGCTGTCTTTGCTGTTGCCCCCATCTGCCTATTTTAACCAGTTAACCTTTCTCCTTGATCTTCGTTGCCTTCATAGTTTCATTGGGGTGGGGTAGGGGAGAAGCTAGGTAGATTTCCCCATCCAGAGAATGAATGGATAGGAATGGGGGGAATACACCCCCCCAATAGAAGACCATTTGGGGGCTGATAAATTAGGTTGGCTTGTTTTCCCACTTCCCCCACTTCTATTGAAACGGTAACAGAGTATATTTTGTAATATGTTGATAATGAAAAATATGCAGTCACCTATACAGTGAGATTTGGTTCCCCAAAGGTTAGAAATGTGAAGAGTTTGTGTTAAATTAAAATGTTTTGCTGTCTCCTTTATCTCCAGTTCCTGGAGATTTTGTTACCAATTACTAACATAGCTCAAGTAGGAAACATAACTATTTTGCCTAGTGTTTTGAAGAAATAGTTTATTTTAAACTTAAGTATTTAGAATAGTTTTTCCAAGTGGGTTGTTCATCAGAGACATTAGAATACAAATTGCATCATCCCCAGTTAGCTTAGACAGCTGGCTCAGGAAGGCTGACTATGGTGGGTGCCCTCTTAGGAGATTTATCCTATATTTCTTGTCCACAGAAGAGAATGCATCTTCTAGTGTGCTGTCACATCTAAATATATTGTCTAAAAAAAGAATTAAAGAAAATATTACTATTTATAATGATCTTTGGTGCTGATTCTCTGCAATTTATGTAGATTTAAATGGTTAAAATTAAATAATGTATTGACTGTTTTAATTACATGATAGCCCTGGTTTGGATTATTTTTTAAATGCAAATTTTCCCATCCTAAGTTTCACCACCAGCATTTGGGAATGGGCAGCATACAAATAAGATAACTAAATAATCTGTTTTATTTATCACTGCCTAAAACTTCTAGTATTGCACAGAGAATGATGCTGATGCTGATAACGATTTCCCACTGCAGAATTCAGCTTGAATAGTGTCAGTTGAATTTCATTAGTCGGAGGAGGTGGCCAGAAGAGAGAGAATGAAATGAAATGTACAGATGTTTACTTATTTAGCATAATTCATTCTTGATCAGTTCAACATAGTCAAAAGAGCACATGATAAATTTATACTATGGAAGCTTAGTGGATCTAGCTCTTCTTGAAGGTGCCATCTCCATGGGTCCAGGTTCTGAGTTCTCTGGAGGCAGAATGGGTTGCAAATTTTGTAGATAAATATTGACCTTTGGAGGGCTATCCTGTTCAGCTTTTTCTCTAATCTATGTTTCACAAATTTCCCTAGCCAAATTTCAGATACCTACCAGTCAGACCACAATGAATGAATATGACACTACTTAGACTACATATGCATATGCTTACTGCAGACAAGTATCAAATGTGAAGGTCATTTCTCCATAGATATCTAGAAGTCATGTTACTTATAAGACACATCCTTGTACAAATTCAATATGCCAAAATGCATTGTGTCAAACCCATCAGTGTTATCTCGCACAAACTATTTATGACAAATTGTAGGATGTGGCATAGACTTTTTCATGTATGGCATCAGCATTTTTATTTGAGCTATGTAGGGGTCTGTGCTGCTAAACTTTTACCAGCTTAATCCTTATTGCCAGCTAGGTGAGATACCTTTTTATCTAGTGAATAATAACAATTAGTTTATGAGAATGCTTCCCAGTGTGATGTAATGGATTTAGTGCTGGGTTTGAACTAGGGTGACTTGAATCTACTCTGACAAGAATCTCCCTGGGTGGCCTTGGACATGTCAGTGTCTTTCAGCCTAGCCATCTTCATAAGGTTATAAAAATAAAACAACTTCATCTCCATGGAAGTAGGGCAGAGAAGTAAACTGCAGTTGCCTCGGTGATAAGTGGTCAAAAGTAGACAGTTCATACAACAGTTGAAATCACCTTAATCATGTAAAAATAAGTTGCATATCTGGGCAATATTATCTGAAATCAAAGTATGCATTTTATTGTTATGCAGAAGCTGCTTATTGAAGCAAAGGGCAGAAATTCTGCAAGACTGGTTTATCTGGCTCTTCATTATCACAGAAAGCTCATTTGTCTGAAATTACAGTAACGTTCTCTGTTACATTCAACAAGGAAGCTTACTTATCTGAAGACCTGTTTGCCTAAAGTGTTCTCATAAGTCCAATGCCTTCTGAATCAGTGAGGAACCTTTTCTTTTCTTTGTCTCTTCCCCCTCCCCTGCCCAAAAAATCCAGTGAAACAGCTTTTTGATTAGAAAGGGCCTTATCTGCAGTTAGTTCTTTGCATGCATTCATTATGCACTGTCAGGAATTTTTAGACAATTTGATGTAAAATGCTGTCAATTATTTATGTCTATATTGAAGTTTCCTAAAAGGTGCTATAGATAGCTAAGATACCCAAAGTAAAATTCTCTGCTTTACACAATAGTTTTTAGCATTTCAGAAATAACCCAATTTCTAAAAAATTAAGGAGTGATAATATTCTCAGAATTGCAAGAACTTTGAAGGTGAAAAATAAGATCATAATAACAGTAAGGATGAAATAAATACAAAGGAAAGAATCTAAGGTTGCTTTTCCATGGTTAGGTATTTATTATTTTTAATTTCTTGTTAATATAGCTGTAGTATTTATACAATCTCTAATATGCATAGAACAGCTAGTCTGCACTTTTGACTTAGAAAAATTATTTTGGGTGGAAGTTTTATTTTTATTTCTTAAACAAAATACAGTATAGATAAAAGAGTTAGGCAAGATAGCTCATAGCAAAGATTTGAGCAACTGAGGATGCAAAAGTCCATTTCAGAATAAAAAGACTGGCAAAATATTCAGATTTGTGTGCATGTATTAATGTGGGTCTTCTCCCCCCCCAGTACACACCTGTCGCTTACAAAAAAAAATAAAATAAAATAAATGATTTGAGTGAGGCCTTATGTAACAAGGTGGTTACATATGGATCCTGGGAAGGCAGTTCATTTTTTACCTAGAAGCACTGGAAAAAAAGGAAGGCACGTTTCTTTAGTCTTTTAATAATGTCTGCATGGCATTCAAGAGTTTGAGAAAATTTGGGGGCTCAAGAGAAGCAGCATTCCCCCAAAGTTTGCATGGCCCCAACCCTGCTGTGTTTTCAGAAACCCTGGCTTTTTCAGCAGGTCCTGGAGCAGGTGATTTGCAACCCAGATTTTTGATCTATGATTTTGATGTGTCTTTCTTCAACGTGGTTCTTAGCAATCGTATTTTTCTTTGTTGGATTTCTCTTTCTTTGTTCTTTTTTTAGTTCTAATTATTTATACATTGTAAGCCATCGAGTTGCAGTTGCAGTTGAGGTGGCCTATAAGTTGATTGATTAAACAAATAAGAGTCGCATTTAAAATATGTATGGTTCTAGTTCATAGTATATTACCACAGAAGCAGTGATGGTGAAGGGAAGAACAAATCACTTATTTTCCCTGCTTCTAAGCAATTGAACGTTTTTTCACATTTATACCTGATTAACTACTGAAATATAAACCTAGGGTTGCCACCATCATCCAGCTACTTTTTACAGAAAAAATAGTAGAAGATGATTTCCGTGAACTAGTCTTTCATGAGCTTTTCAGCATTCCTTGTAATTATTGTATACCTCTTCAGACTGATTCCCAAGTTTTTCCTCTCCCTTAAAACATCTTAACAGCCTTTCTTCCACCTGTTCCTTCTCTTGCAGAAGATGCTGGTGAAACAGCAAGACCGTCTGGAAGAGCGTGAGCAAGACATTGAGGAGCAGCTGTACAAGTTGGAATCTGACAAGCGCCTGGTTGAAGTAACTTTAATTTCCTACTTCTCTTAATGCTAGAACCAAGAAGAACTCTGAAGCAGTTCATCTATCAAGAAAGTGCCCTTGATAGGAGAATTTCCAGTGGAGGTTTATAGTCTTTGGAATCCCTACAAAATAGATGGCATAGTCATATATTATTGTTCCCCCATGCATGGAACAATTAGAGAATCCTAACCAAAGGCGTTATTTACTGCTCTTTATCATGTTATTTTAATTATACCATTTCAATCTCTCCTACTATGACCTGGAATGAACATGGGAAACCACTGGTCTATAGAGGCTTCCCATGTGCCTTACAACCTTCTTTCTTAAGTCCCTGTCCTCCAGTGCAACTTCCTCTCTCAGAGCTGGAATGGGGGAAGGCCTATCTCTAATCCACTGCATATGAGAAATAAAATAACTTTCATGGTTCAGTTGAGCATTAAGTGGAAAAAATATCCTTCTCCTAGCAGATTTGCATGGGATAGTGGAGGAACTGGGACTAGGAAGGGTGCATCTACATATAACAATTGCATGAAAAAGAAGCCCTGCACACTGCTGGAATGCGGTCCTTGCCATCTTGGCCTGGGATTAGTTTGGCTCAATCTTGATCAAGGGCAAAAGCAAAAAATATTTTCTTGCAGACTCTTCATAGCTGATTGGGACCGTTTGCTAAGATGTGCATTGTCATGCCCTGACCACTCTGTTGAATTTACATCTTGAAGTAACTTTATTCTTATAACATCTATATAGCCCAATAGAGCAGAGCAAGTGACCTTGTGTAAAAAGAGAGAGAGAGAGAGAGAAAGTAAAAATTGCCTAAAATAAATTTTCTGTATCCAGTACTACCACCACTACTTGTTATGAATGATATAGTAAATAAATAAGAAGGGAGATTGACTCTGGGCACTTTTTTTTCTTTATACTAATAGGAGAAGGTGAGCCAGCTGAAGGATGAGGTGCGCCTACAGTATGAGAAGATGCATCAGATACTTGATGAAGACCTGCGCAAAACAATGGAGATCCTCGATAAGGCCCAAGCCAAATTCTGCAATGAGAATGCTGCCCAGGTGCTGCATCTGAGTGAGCGCATGCAGGAAGCCAAGAAACTGCTCAGCTCTGTTCAGGTCATGTATGACAAGACAGAAGACATCAACTTCATGAAGGTGAAGTGGAGTGTGTTTGGGGAAGGAGAGGGCTGGGTTGAGTACTTAGTAGAATAAAGGAAGGATTCAGAGCTTAGAAGAATCACTTCAAGCCAGTACTGGATGCATCAAGCTTACAGTTGTAACTTCATTTCCAGCTTTTGTCTCCCATCCTGGAAATAGAAGTTCCTTCTTTCGCCCCTCTCTCCATTGTCCCCTTTTGAGCCTGCATATGCCTGCTCCATCCCTTTGCGTTTGTTTTTCCCAAGTTACCCTGATGAATCCTCCAGATTTACCTGGCAAAACTATTTTATCTTAGAATAGATATAGATATAGCTTTATTTGTTTTATTATTTTGGTGTGGCTTCTATCTTTAGTACTGTTGAAGTTTCTCTAGCAACAAGCAAACTTATTGCACAGAGAGAGAATGGAAGAATATCTGTTCCTCTGGAAAAGAGTATTCAATTGTTATTCTGTTTCCCTGTTTGATATAGAAATGCAGTCACTGTTTCTGCATGTTTAAATACTACTTTGTCCACAAAGTATGAGAATGCAAAAAAAAAAAAATGGTTTATAGAAGTAATAAGGGAAGTGGTACAAAGTCTGATAGAAAAATTCTGGCATAAAGTAGGACAGGTCTTTACAGGTCTTTACTCTCAGCTCTCATGGATGGATGAAAACATTCAGCGTTCCAAGCTAAGACCCATACAGTTTCTGCATATGAAGAATTAGCTGTCAAAATTAACAGTGGGATTTAAAGTTATTGGTTGTTGAAAATGAACCCATGCAGAGAACTATTTTACCTTTCATTTTACCATACAGTAAACCATGGGGACATCCAAATGTGTGGTTAATCTTAACCACTTGGCATTGACTAAGGACTTAACCGGTGATAAATGTTAAACCTGGATACTTTGGTAGAGTAATAGTTTCTTAGAGCTCCTTCTTACTTGTGTATGAATATTCATGAACAAAATATATGTTTTAGTTTAAGTAGAGCAGATGACTTAAATTGGACAGGTGCTAAACTCCTATTTTATATATGGTGTTGTCAGCCAAGGTGTTGCTGAATATACAGCAAGAAAAGTTCATAATATAACAACATTCTTAGCTTTAAGCCTTTGGATGAATTTGGATGGGTCATCATCTCTTGGCCCAACCCGCCTCGCATGGATAAAATGGTCCCCTAAATTACACTGTCCCGCGCTACCTAAAAGAACTAGCAGCAGTGACATGTGAATATCAGCAATGTGATAACCATATTCTTGAATACACATAGCACATCAATCTTGAACCCCTGGTTCCTCTGAGCCCATTTTGGCCCCAGAGTTTCCTCTTCCTAAATGTGCAAGGCTGAAATTTTTTAACTTTTTATTTGTGCCTTATGGGCCGGGAGAGTTGTAAGGGGCAAAAAATATACCCTTTTACACCCTGAGCCAGAGTTTCTCATAGGAGAGGACTTGAGGGGTACAACAGGTGCCTTAACTTTCTATGATAGTAACTGATTCAAAGGAGATCAAACAAAGATAGAAGTATACTGGAATTCTGAACAGTAGAAATATCAACATCCAAGATATCTTAGAAGATATTCTCTTCTTAAAAGAACCTCTAGTACTAGAAGATAAAGTTAGATCCAGTCATTACTAAGTCAGAAGGCTGCAGGAATTGTTGGAATATCGATAGAAATATGGCAAGCAATAGAAGAAGAATCAGTAAATGTTCTAATCAAGCTATACCAGCAAATTTGGAAAACAACAGTTGGAAGAAGTCAGTTTGCATACCAATACCAAAAAAAATTAGACTTAACAGTGTGTACAAACTATCATACAATATCCTTAATTTCACATGCGAGCAAAATAATGTTTAGGATCATCCAACACAGATTAGAACCCTCTGTGGAAAGGGAGATGCCAGATATTCAAGCTGGCTTAAGAAAAGGTCAAGGAACAAGATATATTATTGCTGATACATTCTGGATAGTTGAGAAAGCCAAAAAATACTTTAAAAAAAAGTCAATATGTGTTTCACTGATTACTGAGAGGCCTTCAATTGTATTGATCATGTCAAGCTGTGGAATATACTTAGAAAAGTGGGAATCCTAGAACATCTCATTGTCCTCATGCAAAACATACTCAAGTTAGGAAGCCACAATATGGACAGAACAGACTGGCTCCATGTTGGCAAAGGAGTAAGACAAGGCTGTATACTCTCCCCTTACTTATTCAACCTATATGTGGAATATATATTGAGGGAAGCTTGTTTGGAAGAAGATGAGCGAGGTTTTAAAATTGGTGGAGAAACATCAATAATCTGTGCTGTGCTGATGATAATACCCTGATAGCTGAAAATGAAAATGATCTGGAAGCTCTAGTAATGAAAGTCAAGGAACACAGTGAAAAAAATGGGACTAAGATTAAAGAAGACCAAACTAATGCCAGTGGATACAGCATTAGATTTGACCATGAAGATATTGAAGTAGTGGATAGCTTCTCCTTAATAGATCAACTATAAGCAGTAAGGGAAACAGCAGTCAAGAAATACCCACTACAAATTAGGACTTAGTAGAATAGCAGTAAAGGCCTTGGAAAAGATATTTAGATATTGGGATGTATCTTTATATACAAACATCAGAATGGTGCAGGCAGTGGTTTTCCTGTCTAAGAAGCAGGATAGAAAAAATATGGATAGCCAAGAAAACAAAACAAAGCAAAAAACAAAACAAAAAAGGATCATTGAGTAAATCAACCCAGAGTTCTCACTTGAGACACAAATGACCAGGCTCAAATTATCATACTTCAGACACATTATATAAACTTAGTTCTCTTGAGAACTCTGTAATACTGGGAAAAGTGGAAGGAAAGAGAAAAAGAGGACAACCAGCAGCAAGGTGGATTCTCAGCAATTGGTGCATTGATGGAAGATCTGAAGGACCAGATTGGGGACATATTATCCTGGAGAAAATCTACGTGGTCACTAAGAGTTGATACTGACTTGATGGCATAACATCAGTCAGTCAACTCTCTATAAAGCTTAAGGTGCAAGTATTTCTCTCTTAAATCCCTCTAAACCCTAAAACACACAGAAAACAAATTCAACGCTGTCCATTCTAATGATATTGTGGCATCACTTACCACATTTCTTGTAGCTCTTAGGATAGGAAGTTCTAGTTCAGCCACTGGACAGAGATGGATTTAGATGGATATTCCAAATAACATTCCTTTAAGATAGGTTAGGCTAAGGGATTCAGTTGATGATTCGGTTGACTGTTCCTTAAAATAGCTGTGCATCTGGTGCCCATCAGATGTATTGGGCAACAAGTGCCAGCTAGGGCAAATTCTGGAGGTTTTAGCCACCATGTCTCAAAGGATACCAGGTTGAGGAAAGTTGTCTTAAGGATTAAGGCAAAGATAGCAATATTACTATCTGCCATAACAGTTATTGTACAGTTGAAATAAAATAATTACAATACTGGTTTCTCTTCAGATTGTATAAACAATTACAATTTTGGTGAAGTGGCCCAAGGGCAGAACCCAACCAAAATCTTTTAGGTTTAGGGAGACGGATTTGAGATTCAGATGCTTTTAACAGCTTATCTAGGATGATGGATTTCCCATGTAGTTGGAGATGCCCAGTCAACCCTCCTCCTGATTTCCTAAATGGAACCTTCTCAGATCATACAGCAGATGAATGAAGAAAAAGATTGCTTCAGACCATGTACTCTGGATAAGGTTCCACTGAGCCTTCTTTGTTAAAATCTTCTCATGTAGACCAAATGGCCTACTTCTCAGTTTAGAAAGTTTCTTCACCTCTTGAACAGTATTTATTTATTTGTTTGATTTCTATAGCCGCCCTTCTCAACAAGTAATTCTGGGCAGCATACAATCATAAAAACATAAAACAATATAAATACATATGGCAGAGAAGGTGCATAGAAATGGGTAGAAACAACTGGGAGAAGACAGTCCCTTAGGTAACCTGGTCCCAAGCCGTGAAGGGCTTTAAAGGTGACAACCAGCACCTTGAATTCCACCCAGAAGCACACTGGTAACCAATGCAGCTCATGTAGTAGTGTTACATGTGTCAAATATCCGACACCATTTACTACCCACACAGCCACATTCTGCACCAGTTGAAGCTTCTGAATGTTCTTCAGGGACGGTCCCATGTAGAGCGCATTGCAGTAATCCAGACAAGAGGTCACAAGGGCATGAATGACTTTGAGCAAAGCCTCCTGGTCCAAGAACAGGCACAACTGGCACACAACCCGAAGGTGTGCAAAAGCCTTCCCAGCCACAGCTGCTACCTGCTCTTTTAGCAGGAGCCGTGAGTCCAAAAGGACTCCCAGATTGTGCACTGGGTCTGTCTGGGGCAGTGCCAGCTCATCCAGGACCAGTGATGGAAAAACCTTGTCACCGGAAGGCCCAAATACCCAAAGCTACTCAGTTTTGCTTGGGTTGAGTTGAAGCCCATTGCACTCCATCCAGACCCTTAAAGCCTTCAGACACTGGGACAGGACATCCACAGCATCATTCAGGCAGCCCGGGATGGAGATATAAACCTGGTTATCATCAGCATATTGATGATACCTCACCCCAAACCATTGGATCACCTCACCCAGTGGCCTCATGTAGATGTTAAATAGAGGAGAGAGAACTGAGCCCTGGGGCACCCCACAAAGTAGCTGGTGCAGACTGGATCTCTCCCCCCCATCAACACCAACTGGAACCAACCTTGGAGGAAGGAGGAGAACCAGCGCAACACAGTGCTGCCCACCCCCAACTCCCGAAGCTGGTCCAGAAGGATTCCATGATCAATGGTATCGAAGGCTGATGAGAGGTCTCCATCCTGCTCCTGCCAGAGGTCATCTGAGAGTGTGATCAATGCCATCTCAGTCCCATAACCTGGCCTGAACCCTGACTGAAAAGGGTCCAGATAATCTGCTTCCTCCAGGGTCCTCTGCAGCTACCACATGACCACTTTCTCCCCAACCTTCCCTAAAAAGGAGAGGTGGGAGACTGGATGAAAACTGTCCAGATTAGTTGGGTCAAGCGATGGGCTCTTGAGGAGAGGGTGCACCACTGCCTCCTGAAGAGCTAACAGAACCACCCCCTTCTCAAGGAGTTATTAACCACCATCCAAACCCAATCATGCGTTCCCTCCTGGGCAGCTTTAACCAGCCAGGAGGGACATGGATCTAACAGAAGTGGCCAAACTAGCTGCAAGGGCCCTGTCCACTTCCTCAGGTGCAACGGGATCAAACTCCCCCCAGATAACCATGCAAGACTTAGCCCCTATAGCCTCCACTGGTGCTGCTTTAAAGCTAGAGTCTAATGTAGAGCAGATGTGAGTGACTTTATCCACAGGATTCACAGCATATTGCTCACAGTGATCCTGTGAAACTGACTAGGAGAGACTGGGTCACCCAAAATAGGGCCGCTGGGTGACTATCTGCAGATGCAATAAGGGCAGAGAAATCACATTTTGCCACCCTTACTGTCACAAGGTAGGTTCTAATAGCGGCTCTAGCTCGTGTTCGACCATCTTCACTCCCTGTCTTCTGCCAGGAGCACTCTAGGCATCTCTTAGCCCTCTTTAGTTCCCTTATCATGGAAAGTTACAGGAACCATGGGCATGGAGAGGCCACTCAGGCATGGTCTGATCCAAAGCCACAGCCGCTCTCCCATTCTATGCGGCCACCAAGGTTTCAGTCAGACCATACTTTCCAGAACAACCCCAAGCTCCCTCTGAAACCCAATCAGGTCCATTAGTTGCTTGGGGTGGGCTGATCTAATAGGTCCAGCCTTCCTGCAGAGGGGAGTGGTGCCAGAAAATGTAATAGGCAAAATATTGTCTATTAAAAAGAATCTTCCATGTAAATCTCAATAATTGATTGGCAAGATATTTACATCCTACTAGAATATTTCATTAACTGAGTTGATACATCATATTTTGCCTAATTGTGATTCAGCAAGAGTCCCAAGCCAGACTACTAGAAGAATGGCAGAGGGAGTTTAAAAAAAAAATTCTATGCCAGAATGTGATGTGATTGTCATTATATTAACATTCAGTGGATGTATAAAGCCAAGAAGTTATAGTGAAATGAAAGCAATAGTTCTAATCTTGTGCTCCAGAATCCTGGGTCTGTCTATTATATACTGCAGCTGAAATGATAAAGACCAGAATCAATATGGTGCAACAGATAAGTTGTTGGATTTCCACCTAACTCAAAAGGTTTGCTTAGTAATTTCTGCTAGTTGTTTCAGAGAGTAGATAATAAAAACTTGTAAGATTAATTTAAAAAGCTTTCTTATTTTCACCTTTGAAGTCTAAGAGATCACAGCAAATCTATCTAAAACCAAGAAGCATTGTGTAAACTACTAGTATTTGTTTTGCAATTAACCTAAGGTATATTATACACCATTAAAGATTGAGCTTGAATAGCTAATTCCATACTGATCCCGCACAACATTTCAGTTCAACAGAGAAATAAAGGGGTGTCAGTAGAATCATAATGTAATATTGTATGTACTTCAGAATGCCCTACATATATTCTCATGAACTTTACAACAACTCTGAAAAGCAATCTGGATTATCTTTCTGAGAAGAATTTGCCACCTACCTTGATCGTATCCATAATGGTGGCCACTAGATTCCAGAGTTTCAGCCAGAAGTCATTCTTGTTACCTGAGAAACTTTGGAAAATGCAGAGAATGAATCTGATAATACGCAAAACATATGATCCTGTATAGCTATGATCCCTGTCAAATAGTGTGGTTATACAGTATTGGTGGATTGTTGGGGATGAACTGAACAAATTTTATATAAGTGGTGGGAACACCCCAGAAATCTGCAGAACTGGGCAAACTGAAGTTGATGTGCCATCAGAGGTCTGTATGACTGACAACTACTGATTCTATTTCCTTGTTCTTTCCTAGAATACAAAGTCGGTGAAGATCTTGATGGATAGGTAAGAAACCTATTTTGTAGCGATTTGGGGTTGCATAATAAAGGGTGGTTTGTGATGCAGGAAGTCCAGATAATACTCTGAGTGGATGCAAAGATAACATTATCAAAGCTGATCTCTTTTCTAAGTTGCCATTATAACCACTGCTTATTGTTGCTCTGTAATGGAACTCTCTGTTGGGTAGTTTATCCAGAGAGAGGGTTCAACAAAATGACAAGAATAATCCAAATATGGGAAATATAAGCTTTGCTTCTGCACTGATAGAATTTAGTTATGGTTTAGTTTCTTTGTGCTTTAGTTTCTGCTGTACCCTTGTGTTACTTGTGTCTACTCAAATGAGAGCAAAGAAATTGGTGCTTTGAATTCTGGCCTATGTCTGCAAAGCCAGAGAATCCTCATAAATAAAACAAACTTCTGTGTTAGTGACAGAAATGTGTTGTAAGAAAAAGGTATTAGTTTAGGTGGGGTTTGGAAATTGAGAATACCATTTTCTTCTAAAGATTTAGAAGAAATACTATTAGAAAGACATAGAGTTGGGAAATCTTGAATCTACAAAATTGTCTTCTTACAAGAGGAAAGAAGGATTTGTGGAGGAAAGAAGATTCTTCTTAGGGATACAGAAAAAAAGTTTGCCAGAATCCACTGGGAGAGAAATCTTTGAATAATTGAGGCTTCTCTCAAATTAGCAGAATGATGGAGCTGTAAGAAAGACTCAAATAGCCTAACAAGAGGCATTGTGGGTGTTTTTCCAGCTGGCTTTCATTAAAGAAATACATTGTAATAGATTGTAATGCTCATTTTAAGGACTCAGAACTGCACAGGAGGCAGTCTGCCTCCTCCTAAGATTGGCCACCTCAATTCCAAGCTCTTCCTGAATGAGATTGCCAAGAAGGAAAAGCAGTTGCGGAAGCTCCTGGAAGGTGAGTGATGTTCCCATGACATTTCATCACTTGTATACTCACTATTAAATTTCCATTAGCATGAATCAGGGGCAGAGTATCTTTCTGCTCCATTTTTTTTAACAATTATTTTTGAAAATTGGGAACCACAGGAGACAAGTAATGGCAGTGTGACATCATATATGTGGACTGGACATTTTTTGTCAAGGGGTGATTGGATTGGGTTTTACATCTCTTCCCACAGGAATAAGCAGGGAACTGCACAACATATTCACAGATTTGCTTCTATATTTCAGGAACATAATCCTAGGTGGGTCTGCGATCCATAGGATAGGGATTTTAAAACTGTACATGGTCTGCCATCTGTCTATATCTGGCAAAAATATTAACTTATCTGACTTTGGTGTTATTTCTTCTAATTTGTCTTGAGTTTCTTTACACTGTGCTGCTTTTTAATTAGCCGTAAAGGGGTTAGGGGATTGTGGCATGGATGTGACACAAAATGATGTTCTTCAGAGCCACAATATTTTCACTATACATTGTTAGTCCCCGATCTGCCAAGATTAAGGTGAATTTTAGAAGCAAAAGGCATTCTGCAATTTTTTTTTAGCACAGTGGACTTAATAGTGCAGGAAAAATAACTCAGACATTCAGATGTCTTGGCTATCTCCAGCCTAACCTCTAGAATAGAAATAGGAAACCTATGTCCTTCCAAATGTTGTTAGACTCCCAACTCCCACCATTTGCCATTTTGATTGGAACCATAATCCAAAAGCATTGGAAGGATCATAGGATTCCTACTCTCTGCTGGCTGGCTTTAATGCAGGAAAGAAGTTAAAAGAGGTACAGGCTCTTTTATTTAAGAGATTCTTCCAATCACTGCTATGCTGCTGACTCCCCTGAGTAATTCTGTAGCAACATAAATGTTTTTATTATTCTTAGTCCAGTGCCTGGTTGATGGGTATAGATTGTAATTCAAAACATTTGGAGGCTGCTATTTTCACCAGCTATAGTTTGGCTTCATTCAGTTGCATTTGGTATGGGTGTTAATGGGTTAAACTTTGACACAAAGGATGAAAAAGTGGTTATAAATGCATCACCCCTTGGCTCTAGCATATTGAGGACATTTCTAGGTGGCATTTCTATATTCCCCAAATTATTTCTAAATATTAAAAGTTGGAAAAAATGCTAAATCACCAAATATTATAAGATTTCAGCACTTACACATGAGATCTTACAGAATTTCAGGTGAAAATGATAAAATCCTATGAGATGTTGGTGTTCTTGTTAGATTTTATATAGTTATATTGATCAATGATGTCTACATTACTGCATGAGATCATGGTATGGTGGCTGAAAAGGTTACCAATTCCTGATTTACCATATTTGTGAATAATTATTTTAATTTTTATACTCTTTGCTTATATGGGAATATTTTGTATATCAGAAGAATATTTCCATGAGATGACATTAGATGGCAAATATTCAGTGTAATATGAAATGCTATACAATCTCTTCAAATAAATATTCACAGAAATAATTCATTAGAAAATGATGAACAGTGTAAGGTATTACCTCCAAAAATCTAACCACCTAAAATTCAATATTAAATATTAATACCCCATCCCCCAGTTGCAGTTAGTATTTCCAATTAGACTGAATAGGACTTTTTTATTTAAAGTCTCCATGTGGTTATTTATGCACATTATTGTTATATGGGACATACACCGCTTTCAAGATGTAAATATGATTATAGTTTATAGCCATTTTTATAGCTGCCAACTGGAAGCTTAGGAAGAAAACAGATTTCAGAATAATTTCACTGGAGTAATCAATTATTTTTCAAGATAGATTACTTATAGCAAAAAGTATTGCAGTTAAGCTTGGTGGTACAGCATATGCATAGGCCTGTGTATGCTTTAGCGTTTCATTGTATCTATTAAAGGAGAATGGCATGAACTTGGTCAAAGGTTGCCCACTTTGGTTGCAGTATGATCCATATCAAAACTTCTTTCTGTTTAAGAAAGTTCAGAAAGTTAACCTGGTTAACTCTGAAATTTCTTTATACAATCCCGATAGATTATATGTATTATAGCCCCAGCAATAGAAGACATAACACACATATTATGTGAATGTCAATTGTATAAGAAAGAGAGAGATCAGTATCTTGGACTGCACAGTAGATGAACAGCCTGTTGGGATCCTTATATTAAAACAACGTATTTCATGTGCGGTCAGGATCCAAAAATTACATATAATACGGCCCTTTATTTGAACAAAACACTACAGGGGTAACATGGAAATATGATTTGCATTTTCTTTTACTTATTTCTTTTATTATATTTTTAACATATGGTCTTACTACTTTCTGTGTTTTATATTTTGTATTCTGAAATGGCCTAATGGCTAATCAATAAAGTATTACCGTGTATTATGTGTCTGAGAGTTATTTTGTGTTGGCTTAATATTGCCCTGAGATTGTAATCATGATGAAAATAGACACTCCTTTGCTTACTAACTTTGCCCAAGTTATATAATAATAGAATTACTACAAATTTCAGGTAGAAGCATAATATTGTGAAAGCGTTGTACTGAGGCCAATGTCAGTGTGTTTTATGCACCCCCAAGCTAACTTTTACCTTTACTAGCAAGTAACAGTTACATCATGCCCAAATGATTATGGGCTACAGAATTAATACAGTTGAGACAAATACAGTGATATATTACTCATAAAGGACAATTCCTTTAGTTTGGGGCATTTTGAGGTTCTTCATAAAATGTCCATCTCCATTTCTGTGTCCATTTTTATATACACTGAATAATACTTTAAGATTGCATCATGCATGAAAATGGCTAGCAACCTAATCTTCAGGAGATGAAAATGTACCAAAAGTGCATTTTCACTGAGTTTCCTGGTATTCAGTGAAGTATTTCTTGCTGGAATCCATATAAAAAGTGTTTAATTGTTAATGTGTATGTGTCCCAGATTACATACTTCTGGCAAAAGTGCACAATGTTAGTATTTCCAATTAGACTTAATAGGACTTTTTTATTCAAAGTCTCCAAATGGTATATGTTATGCTGAAATTGTTTGATACTTGAATTTAGTGACCAAGAAGTCAGGATCAAGAAGCTGCCTCAGATCAGATTGTTTCTTTTCATCACATTAGTAGTAGTAATCTGATCTGATTGAGAAAAAGTAACTAGAAAGTAAGTTAGAAGGGAGATAATGAGCAACAAGAACAGAGAGGAGGTTAACTGGTTGTAGTTGTAAGTAATACAAAACAGTCAAGTTTGGCTGATTCTTGAATGGATTCCTGTAAGAAGGATAGGAAGCTCTTTAAGGATTCAAAATTGCGTGTTACAAGGATGAAATTGGGTGATTGGGACAAGCAATTCACATTCATCTGTTGTTGGAGAAATTACTATGAGAATGCATCTTAGCTCTTTCAGGATTGCAAACCCCACTCCACACTTTATCTTGATGTAAGTCAAGAAATGGATACATTGGAAAGCATAAACTTATGAGCCCATTGTTCTGAGTTCCAGAAATCCAGGTTCTGCACCAAAACTCTATTTGACTTTGTTATGCATATTGGAAAACACTGCATGTTAGCACCATCTTCAAGGTCTTTCCAGTTGATTATAGATAACAGCATTTGATGAAATGTGTGTTCTCTTTCCATTTGTTCATTGTAAGAACTGAAGGCCAGCAGACAGCTCCATCTAAACCGTAGAGGCCCCGAGACATTGCTTTTGTGGGAAGCATAAAAGGTTAGGGACAGCTGAAATAGATAATCAGGGTTTTTTTCCCCCTAGCTTCTGTTTGTTTTGAGATCATGTCTGTCTTTGGCATTATCTGCTAGAGTTGATTATATTACTAGCAAACATGTGGATCTGTGCAGCTGTAGGTGCTTTTTCTGACTTAATCGTTCAGCTGAAAAAGAGTGACTTTTTGATAATGGAGATATCATCTATTTTCTCTGTTTCATTTCAGGTCCCTTCAGTACACCAGTGCCATTCCTGCAGAGCATCCCTATGTACCCTTGCAGTGTCAGTAACTCAGGAGCTGAGAAACGCAAGCACTCCACAGCTTTCCCAGAAGCCAGCTTCTTGGAGCCATCCTCGGGACCCGTTGCCAACCAGTACGTCAGCCAGGGGGCTTCGGCTGGTGAAGGCCAGTCTGCACAACCCATGGTGCCTTGTAGCTCCACCCAGCACATAGTAGGACTCCCCAGTGGCCCCCAACCAGTTCACTCCAGCTCAATGTTCAACCCTTCTCACTACCCCAACAGCACATCATCTCAGCAGTCTGTGCTGTCTCAGTATGGTGGGCGCAAAATTCTTGTCTGCTCAGTGGACAACTGTTACTGTTCCTCAGTATCCAATCACAGTGGGCATCAGCCCTACCCACGATCCGGCCACTTTCCATGGACAGTGTCATCACAGGAATATTCCCACCCACTCCCACCTGCTCCATCTGTACCTCAATCGCTTCCAGGATTGGCAGTGAGAGAATGGATTGATGCATCTCAGCAACATGGACGCCAGGATTTCTATAGAGTTTATGGTCAGCCTTCCACCAAACACTATGTCACCAGTTAACCATCTGGTTTTGGTAGAATCCTGTTGATTTTTGAATTTTTTTTAAATCTAGTTTTTGTTGTTGTTTTAAATCAAATCCATTTCCATCTATCCCTACCACATGCCAGATTCAGAGTCGGGCATTGCTGTCATCTGTTATTTCTAATTTAATTCTTTAAATTCCTTTCTTTGTATCAGGTTGGGGATGGGAAACTGTGGGAAAAAATTAAGAATTTCAATCAAGTATCTGCTTTTGGATCATGTGACATTGCAACTTTCCTGTGGGGAAAACTTAAAGGGACAGATGATCCTTTTTTTTATTTCAAAGTCTGGGCTCTTTGGTTTTCCTTTTAATTTTTTTTTCCTTCCCATTTTTAAGAAGAAATTTCTATCATTGATTCATTAAGAAATGACACTTGTAGAGTTTTTTTTAAGACTGATTTTTTTTGTGTGTTAAAAGGCCACATATCGTACATATTGGCATTTTTTTTTCTTCTTTCAGAGATTTGTAAATACACAATGGCAGGAAATGAAATGCACAAAAAAGGGAAAAGAAACTTAAAAAAAAAAATTAAAAATCTGTTTTAGTTTCCAGGAGGGAAGTGTGTGCCTAAGTACACACATGGCTTCCTGTGTTTTGTTGATGCAACTTCCTCTAACAAGCACTTTGTATTAAAAAAAATGGACTTCCTGTTATAAAATGCAGGTATTTATTCTGTAACCAATTTTAGAACACACACACAAAATATTCAAATAAATGTGATCACTTAGTGCAATGCCTTGTTCTGGTTTGCCTGTGTGGGCACTGCTTTACCCAACTGTGTCTGGGAATAAGGACGTGTTGCTCAGATAGGAATCTGATAGCTTTTAAAAAATAGATTACTCTCTTCTTTGTCTCTGCATGCCCTTTGGAATAACTCAAAATAGAAATTCAGTAATAGGGTAAATATTGAAAAGGTGGGTTAAAATATCTGGCAGCATCCTATTATACAGTGAAATAGGAATGTCATTTCTGTTTGGATGTAATGAAAACATGGACTGAACATGAATCAGAACAGTAGTTCAGAATAAAAGGCACATATAATGTGTGGGTGCTATAATTAAGAATGATGTGCACATTGCGTAATAGTCAGATTTTACTTCTTACCTGCTAAAACTTGGTTAAAATGTAAAAACGTGAGATTTGCAAATTAAGAAAGATACAGTCATATTATCGTCATAAGCAATGCAGTTCATAATACATTGTCCATATTTTGCTTTCTGAGGGTATCTGCCTTCACTTAAAACAAAAGCCCACATTCTAGGCCTCATCCCTAGCTTTATTTGCAAGAATAGTTATCTCACAGGTATACCAGAGGTACTCTTTCCAAACTACTGATGACTGTCTATATATTTCTGTTATAACACATTTATGCAGCAAACCTTTGCACTTTCCACAAAGTTATATTACTTAACTCAATGGAACTTACTTCTACATAGCCCGAATAGGATTGTACTGCTAATTTTTTAAAACTGGTTTAGATCAGCTTTCTACTGGCCATTTTTGAGCCAATCTTCTCAACCTATTACTCCTCAGATATATTTGATTACAACTCCCAGAATCACTAGCCCAGCGTTTCTCAACTGTGGCAACTTTAAGATGTGTGGACTTCAACTCCCACAATTCCCCAGCCAGTTGTGCTGGCTAGGGAATTCTGGGAGTTGAAGTCCACACATCTTAAAGCTGCCAAGGTTGAGAGGCACTGCTCTAGTCATTGAACATGCTGAATGGGAATTCCAGGAATTGCAAATGCCCCATTTGGAGGGTACCAGATTGGTAAAGGTGGGCTTAGATTGGGCTTAGAAATCCAAGTAAAAAAAGATTCCTTTGACCTCTGTGTTTGCTCTTGCCATGTATGTTATATAGGAAACCCCCTGCTGAAGTTCAGAAAAGATTCTGTATTACCTGAGCCTCGCTTTCAATTCTCCAGCATTAAAAAAAGGGCATAGAATTTATTTTTATAAAAGGAGTGACAAGAAATCCACAGCTAGTACTAATATCAGCCATCCAGATTTATGTATGTACGTATGTATGTATGCATGTATGTATGTACTGAAACTTAGATGTTGCTCCAATCCAAACAGGACTCAGCGGCATACATTCTTCAAAAGAAAATTGAAATAGTGATCGGTGCAAGAAAAACAAGCCCAGCACCCAAAGAGCAATAACAGCAAACAGGAGGCTCTCTTTATAACAAATATGCTCCAAAGATATTTGGGAATAGCCTGGTTTAATATCTCCAGCATTCACCCCTCCACTGTCTATGCAGTCAAACTGTGTGGGAGTTTATACATCATATGATGCAAGCAGAAAATGAATCCTTTATTTATGCACAGAACTAGTTTACTTTGTTCCTGAGTGTGTGTGTGTGTGTGTGTGTGTGTGTGTGTTTCCAGTGAAGATGGTGCCTTTTGGGTTTGTTTTTGTTGGGTATGTTCAGGCACACTTATGAAGAAAACTACAACTGTGGTCAGGTTTTGGGGCTCTGGCAGTACCATTAATTTGTAGGTTTGTTTAATTTTCTCTTCTATTTGGCTTATATGGAAAAGACAAGATGTTTGCTGGAAACTGATAGATCAGTGTGTGGTTTAGCTTTATCATGATTCCTAGCCCACCTAAGTTCATCCCATTAGTCTTCCCCAGTTTAAGAGCTTAGCAAATAGCGTCTTTCTTTTATTGACATTAATTAAATAACATTTAATTTCACTATTTAAAGAAAAGAAAGCATTTTTAGCTTTTAATGTAAAATCTTATTCATCATTTGTTCTGTTTAGCTGTTCTGAATGCATATCAACTTCTGATCAAATTTATTTCAAACAAAGTTGGTGTTATATTCAATAGTGGCTTAATAAAGGGAGTAGATAATCATCCCACAGTTATTTTACTGTTAGGTTTGCAAGATAATTAAAAGGTCAGATTTGGTAGTTTTAAAGAGCAAATTACACCTGTCACAGAACTGCCACTTTTTATACACATATGAGTATTAATTTAACACAGTGTGGGCAGTGTATGTGGAACTCAGATTTCAGTTTAAAACAGTACTTTGGTCTTATTTATTTTGGAGGCCCAAATAGTAAAGGACACATGGATGAAAAGTGTTGAAACATCCTTGGCCCTCATGCACAAATCTCTTTTAGTTCTTAAACCTCGATCCCATTATATGGGTTGGGCACAGACCTTCAGTTTAGAAATGGATCTCCTGCTATGGACTGTAGGGCCCTCAAATTCATCTATAAGATTTGATGTAGCCTAGGAAACTCGTAAGGTCCTGTTATTGCTGCTGTGTTGTAATACGTTAGTTCAAGTCAGAGATTAAACACAAGGCTATACTAACAATGAACAGGCACTGAACCCAGCAAGAAGACACTTAATCATTCCTTCACACATTGTTATCTGTGTGCTTTTGTTTTGGTGGAAGGTAACATTTTCTCATAGAAGGCAGCATTCAGGGGTTCAGTGTTGAAGCAGGAGCTGCTCTTTTTTAAGAAACAAGATTTAATCCTAACTCGATGGAAAAGACCAGAGGCATCCTCAGGATCCAGTGTTTTTGTCAAAATGACAAAAGCAGCGTTGCACTTTTGCAAAGCAGGCTTCAGCCCTTTCATATGTCATCTGCAAGCACCATCACAATACATAGAAAAGGGAGTGGGGAACTTATGTCTCACCGATGCAATGCTTTTTCTAGACTTGGCTTGGTATTATGTTGAGAGTTGCTGTGCATAGAATAGACTCTTTCAGATGGAGTTTACTGTGGCCCACACTGTGGTACAACGAATGGTACCTATAGTTAGTTCCAACTCTTCCTTCAGGCAGACCACTGTATCAAAAGGCATTGAAGACTGCCATGTAAACAAGCCATTTTGTGCACATTGAGCATGCTAGATAAAAACCAGCAATTTTTGGATTTCCATTTCTAGTCACCAAATATGTAAAAAAATATTGGTTCCCATTAATATTCCATCTGCCACTATTTTTTTTTTACTAAATCAAAAATTTTTACTATCAAAAATATTTATACAGGATGTTTGTGAACTAAACTGCAGTGGAAGTAATAATGTACATTATGGTACAATACAAAAGAGTAACTTGTTATATTTTCTTCTAGAAGTGCTGCTTTTCCTGTTGAGAAGGGCACATTAGTTCTGGCTTTCATATACTTAGGCATTAAACAGTGAAACTTTGTGCATGTCTCTCAATCAAATTTTGCAGAGAGTGCACAAATCATAATGCCATAATAGCTTTTTGCATCTTAAAGTATTGCACGGAGGTAGAATTTTACTAGTTGCATTTTTCTTAGGAAGCAACTGAACATGGCGCCATTGTTCATACCTGATAAGCCTCTGAAGTGTAAGAGTATCATCAGTGCCCCCTTCTTTACCAAGCAACATGCGAAAAGGTCCTTTAGTTGCTAGAATCGGGATGGGTCGTGAATATACCTGCTTTCTCTTAGTAGTGCAAAGTTGGGCAACCTGAGGCCCTTCTTTGTAGTGTACAGAATTGCATTCTATGTCTGGGTGATGCAGTTTCTTGCCATTTGGAGATGAGTAATTAAGAAACATCCATGTAAAATTTAACAATTTTTAAAAACCAAGCACTCTCTGAAAAAGAAAAATCCAGAAATAAGTGGAAAACTCTGGCGCTGCCCATGTGTATGATGTAGCTCAACTCACTTGGCACCATTGCCTGATCCACTGCGGCTCTTGGCCTTCCCCAAAAACATTTAAATATGGCTCCAAACACCAACTGTCCTCACCTCCTCCATACAGGAATCTATGGATTGAGTGGGATTTCTAAAAGGAGTGGCTATACGGATGGATGAGGAAAAAATAGCTTAAAGGCTAGATTAAGGATCAGTAGGGAGGGGGAAAAGAAGTGTTTAATAATGTTTATTCATACCTAGTGTGAGAAAGGAGAATGCAAAAATAGGAAAGTCTTTCTGTAACCTACAGCTGACGACCTTCCTAGGATTAGGATACTTTTTCCAGCCAGACTCTTAATTCTTGATTGAGTGAATGCATTAGTCTTATTTCTTTTTAAGAGGCTAATCAGTTCACAGCAAGGGGCTGTAGTGGCAGAATGACATTTTTGCTAAATATGCATGCTGTTTTGTTTTCAGAAGAAAGGAGATAACTCTCCTAAGAGATCTTGCAGCACTGAGCCTCATGGAGCTGAGTAAAAATGGTCTGAATAACCTTGTCCTATTCATCTGCTTTGGGAATATAAAAATGGAATCGGTACATAGCAAAAAAAGGCCGAAACTGCTAACCCTTCCAGTATCCAAGTAATAACTGTACCTTCAGTAGAATATATTCAAATACTGTCTTCTCCTTATAGTATCTTGCAGCAATAGCATGCAATGCAGTAATGTAAAACATACTTAAAATATGCTTGAGTTATTTTGCTTAAGGTTCAAGTGACTGAAACAGGTTCACAGTTGTGAGGTGGGGAGAGCCATAGTTCAAATTTCAGTACCTATTTTTTGACTTTCCAAAGCCTTTGACCTTTTTTTTACCAGGTCTGATTTGCAAAACAGTTTTTAAGGGTGTTTCTTGGTATCAAGCAAGTTTAGAAAAATGTGGGAAATTACAATATTTTTTCTTGGTTTATTAGATGCTATAGTTTAAGAGCATAGTAGGACAAGCTTATTTTCTCCATCTTGTGAAGATTTCTTTCCTGGGTGGATTCATCAAATTGAAATAAAAAATAAAGAGATGCCTTTCAGGATGATGCAAATGC